TGTTGCTGAGTTCAGTCAATACCCATACATTATTCTAACACACAACACTGTTGTCTATCATGTAATATTCATGATGACATAACATCTATATTGCATTACCACTTGCCCCAGATTTGAGCTGTATTTTTGACACACATTAGGCTTCCCTCCTAGGCTCACAACACACAGCTAGCCCTCTTTCCCATTGCTATAAACTCACCAGAGATCCTCCTCTGACAAAAATGTGTTTCAGTTTCCAGTTTGTATGTGAAAGCAGCAGCGGGTGTTTAGTATCCCTGTTGCATTTTAGAGATCAGCTGCAGACTCAACAAAATATCTGTGAACAGAAAGAGGGACCCCGGAGTTTCTGAATATGTGAGAGAAAATTACAGAGGGACATTTAGAGTGATGTATATCAAAAGAGCAAAAAGAGACAAATAAATGGCTGTGAAAGGAAAGAGAACTGGCGAACAGATGGAGAGAAAGAAAAAAGTGAAAATCATAAAGGCAGACAAGCGGAAAAAGAAAAGGGCTGGGCGATCATAAAGAGCTAAAGCTGCTTCCAGGAGTAAAGGTTGAAGAGACTGGAGAAAGTTCTGTTGTCATCACAGACAGAGGACGGCAGGTGATGGAAGGATAATGACAGAGGGAGGAGCCTGCTTGACCTCTGCTGACCTCTGCCTGGGAAGGGATGAAGGAAGTGGGAGCAGCAGCAGCCCTAATGTGATGGGATATCCTGCCGCCTGCCTGCTCACCCCTCTTCCTCCGACCGTAATGTCTGTTCCCATCGTTCACAGTCACCTCTGCAGGATGAGGCTCAAGAGCAACACAAACACACAAGATACACTCATGCACACCTTGTGCAGTGACGCACACATATTCACTTTGGATGGATTCACATGCCAATGTACGCAGGCCTTCACACATGTTGACAGTCAAAAACACACAGACAGAAACACACCTCCAAGTTGACTCAACAACATTCACAGCCAAAGAGACATTTACTCAGGTCACTGCATTACGCAGAAATGTAGGCCAGTGTTGAAATCATCGTGCAGATGAGGAGAAGCCGGTAGATACCAAAAACAGAAAGTCTGCCAGAGTGTACTCACAGAAACACTATTACGCAGTGCAGTGCAGCTGGTTTGGTTTACTGAGTGCAAACAATGCCCATTATACTTCTATCCCAAGTTCACTTTTACACACAAAAAAACCACAATGAAAGCTAATAATTTCATGAGTGTTTAAAAGGATACTCATAATTACAATGAGATTATTTTTCATTTTGTGATTACAAAAGCCAAATGTTAAATGGGGAGACCCTTCAAAAGAACAGTTGTTTTATTTGCCATTAAGCTTCATTATGGTTAATTGCTCACGTTCCTGTCTGTCAGACAAAGTTCAGCAACTTGTGGGTATTTTCTCCTGTGGAAAAGCTGCCTTTAGCTTCACTCTGCTCCCCCATTCACCCACCCACAAAACTTCAAAGCAAGGCCACACTGAAACTTCAAGCCCATTTTGGCATTGCCCTCCTACCTCTAGATCCAGTAATTACAGCTCATACAAGACATCAACATTATTACTCGTCAAACCACTGTATAATAATACCACAAAACACTTCAAAGAGACAACTCACATTTCAAGGGAAAAATAAAAGCTCATGGATTATGCATTAGAAAGGACTACATCAACCTTCCAAAGCAGCTGGGGCTCGGTTCATATTATCTGGAGCGAGAAACAAACTTTATCATAAAGATTTATGTGTAATTTGAAAATAAAGTTAACATCATTGTTAAAACTGAGAAGGCCAGTGGTTTAGGTTATTTTTACCAGCTTGTGTTCAGTACTAGCAATGTGCTTATTTAACATATAACAACAGGAATGTGTAGCAGTCAAGGGTGTGTTTGGTCTTGAGGTTAAATTGCAGCGCCTTGAGAGTTAGGACATCACCACCCAAGATTACTTTGTTTAAATATGTATCAATACTGCCCTCTTGTGTCTAATGTTTACATTTTAAACATAATGCAAAGAAACTGCCCTTTCTATTTGTATCCTTAACATTTCTTATCCCCCCTAATTAGTTAAAAATACAACCATTTTTCACCAAAATCAGGAAGCTTGTGAATATAGAGAGCAAATAGTTTACTGCCCCCCCCCCATTCTACCTTTTTAAGAGATAAAGGAAGATAACAGATGCATGTACAAGAATAGATGAGTATCTCAGAAAATATAATACAAGCATCTGCAATACACTTAATGAAGAATTGAACACTATAGACATCAATTGTACAAAGACAATTGGAATTAAAAGAAATAAAGACCAGATTGCATTTGAGAGGATTTAATTGGGATAGTATATTTTCCGAGTGTCATCAAATGCAATACATGTAGTAGGAATGCAATGAAGCGTGGGAAAGATCATTGATGTTACTGTCAGTTGACAGCAGATAGCATAAATATGTATCTATGTTAGTTGCTAAATTATTGGGATAGAAGCTAAGATGAAGAGCATTAACTAACAACCATAACATGGACTGTGTTAATAAAGAACCGCACTGGACTAGTTTTATATTTACAATTTTAACAGTCTGGTAGGATTGTAATCTCTTGTAGGGCTGCTGCCAAATTTTGTTTGGGAAGTGCGCAGAGATTACATTTGTAGGACCTCCTCTAACTTTTAGCTTTCTGCCCTAAGACTGGAAAAAAATGTGAGGCTGAGAATGCATGCACACAACTGGCAACTCTTTATAAACACAACATTATACAAAATTCAGCAATTCAGTATCAGCCTGTGTATTATTTATATGTTTTGACAAAGGAGTGTTCTAACCCAAACCTACAATTTTAATAGACCCGTTTCAGTTTGTAGACCATTATATATTTGTCTTCTTTCTTGTTGGATGTCTACAAAAAGAATATGTTGCTGGCAAAGGACTCTAACAGATACTCTGAGGATTCAACATCACACTGAACAGCAATATCCTTTACACAGAGGACAAGAGTTTGTCAATGAAATAATTATCTTTTATTTTCTCTTTGAATGTTGCTCAAAGTCAAATCCACTGGTGGAAACTAACTGAGGTGGTTATATATGGATATTGTGTGTGTGTGTGTGTGTGTGTGTGTGTGTGTGTGTGTGTGTGTGTGTGTGTGTGTGTGTGTGTGTGTGTGTGTGTGTGTGTGTGTGTGTGTGTGTGTGTGTATTTGTGTGTAGTTGTTTGTAGGTGTGTGCACAATCCAGTGTGCAAGAATGTTTATATTGTCAATGATCAGTATTTACATCCAGTACAAATACATATAACCTGTGGTAATACAGTGGTCATATATGTGTGTAAAATCTGAAAAGCATTAACAATTTCTAATACATCTTTAATAATGCTGTGACCTACTTCCTGACTATGAAAACAACCGTTTTATCATCACCACTATCCAACTGCCATGACGATGAATGTCACAACCTTCCCTAATGTCACCATCATGTCAGCCATTTTATTTATTTATGAAGACCGTCAGTCCCATTTATCTCAACATGCTTTAATTGAGTTTGAAGCCACTAAGCCCCTTCCCCCCATCCTTATTCATTTAGACATTCAACAGTGTTTTGCCCATTACAGTGACTTTTGGGTGGACAATGCAAACAAGAAGAAACTAAGAATCAAGCTGCAGGCTAAATATTGTGAAACACATACATTATTATACTTTGCGCTATGTTTATTCTGTGTTTGGTAAATGTCATATTTAAATTAGCTTTACCATATTTGCAGGTCTTAGACCACCTTTAGTCAACCTGATAATAGTCATTGTTATTTTCAACCAAAAATAGTAATTGTGTGAAATAATTTCATGCACATACTTGTATTTAAGAAGACACATGTGTTTGGATATAATACAAACAAATACAGGAGAAAAAAACAAAAAAACATCCTATAATAATGACGCAGGAATGCTAGTCCATTTAATTCATTACGTCAATGTGAACTGGAGTACAGTGTATTGAGCAAGAAGGACACCCTGTGGCCATTCAGCCAACTGCAAGACGTCCACTGACCCCCCACAACACCTCTGTCCCTCATCTCATGCCATGACAATAAACCTTTATAAATACAGTCCATGCAATAAATCCGAAACTCTACAACCTGTTTATAATCAACAGTGTGTTGCATAGCATGATTTCAGATATAAAATGTGATGTTGTTGCTTAGTTTACCCTGAAATAGTTGACAAATTGCTATACAATACTTAGATTTAAGACTTCTCATATGCCTGTGGTGATGCTGTGCCTGAGGGTGTGTCCATTTACATCGCTCTTACCAAAGTTGGGGCTTCAAACTATTTAAAATAAATGTATGCAGATCTGAGTTTTCTTAGTTAACAGATGCTGGTGGCTCATCTTGACACCTGTGAATAGGTTTGTGTTTGTTTCATTAACGTAAATGATGTGTTCCATGTCCAAAATTACCTTCTTATTATAGCTGATACTTAATCTATATTCTTCATTTATTTTCGATTTATGAAATACTTTCTTATGAAAATACACGTTATGTAATGTCTGTCCTGTTTTCCTCAATGAACAAGGACATTTGTTTAGAAAAACTATTTCCCAAATATAGACATGTTTGTAACATCTTAACCATTGTCTGAACAGATTAAAAACACTCACATTTCAAATAGCCAATTGAGTTTGAGCAAATTGGATGATTTGAGCAATGTGTTCATTCAAATAGTTTAAACAAATTCCAATAACGCCCGAACAGAGAAGCTGTTCACTAACATCACAATCTTTAAAGGTCATAACATAGGACGAGAATAACAACACCGAAAACAAATGGTAACCTTTATTAGGCCTACGTAATTTATTTTTACTGAAGCAGGTGAATGCTTGTATGGGGCTAATTTCCTGCCATAACTCTACCATCTCTCCATTTGTGGAGTTATGGCAGGAAATTAGCTCCATAGATTTTGCAGATCTCGCGCTGCTTTTGGTGAAAATGCAACTACAAAGACCACAATGCATTGCAGCGAAACAGTCATGACACATCTTCAACATAAGGAAAAGCTACTTCCTTGGAAACGTTTTATTTGCTAACCTTGGGGAGAGGTTTGCTCCTTCTTATGGTTATCATTTTGAGAAGTAATTTAAAAGCGTATTGTCTTGGCTCGCAGGAAATGTCAGGCACTGAATGTGTGCGTTAGGTGACCTACAGCTAGCTTTCTAGCTCGGGAGCTAAAAACGTACGCGCTAACGCTAGCTAACCGAGGGGACCGAATATGTAACATTTAACGTTGGAGAGCCACTTTTATCAACAACAACAGCTGGAAGAGATACGTGATATCGCCAGTAGCTGTTATAAAGTAACTGCTCAAAGTAAGTAGTGCATTTCTGTCTCTAACACTGCTCATGTTTCGGTGTTTATGTTATTAACTGCAGATGGCTAGCTTAACTTGACAGCTAAGTTAGCGTCATGAATCGACGAATTAAAAAGGGGGTCCAATGTATGAAATGTTTGCTTAAAATCATCGAGACACTTAACCAAGTATATGTTTTATCAATACGGATCACGGTGTTGGTCAGATGTGGTGTCATTTGCTCTGTTTAATGTGATGCCGTGTTTATCCGTATCACGTGAGTCGCCACAGCACAGGCTCACTAACATTTTCTGCAGGTATAAAAAAGCCTTAAATTACTGTTCTTTGTGATAATGGTACAGATAAAACGTTGAAATATAAGGATTTCTAACTTGGTACTTGGGAAATATATTATTTTATCATGTAAAGTTGAAATGATATTCATGTATGTAGTTTACACCCCAACAGTGAGATATATTATATTCAGTAAAGCTTGAGGAGGCGTCATTTGGATTAATTAATTTCGTGTTACTTTTTCGTTAATCCTATCTCTGCCTAAAGCAAAGATTGTTGAACAAACACTGTTAAACAAGTTGTAAAACACAGGGCAGTAATATGCCTTGCAGAGTTGCAGCTAGGTGTGTAAAAGTCTGCACAGTGGTGACCCACTTGGCTTGGTGACACCTTTCTTGCACCCTTTTAATAATGGCCTCTTTGTGTCTATGAGCTTTGTTGCCAGCATACAGAAATGAAATACTGTCAAACCTGTGTTGGTCAACTCAACCTACTTTAGTACCTTTGTTTAACTTGTAATACAAATGTACATTTATGATAATATAAAACATTTACAAACTGCTTAAAGAAACCATGCCCCCTGAGATGATATGACAAATCATTTTGTTGTCATGAATTATGCTATATGCTTTATCTTAACTGAAGCAAACCATTATCTGTTTACATCTCTCTTTAATTTTTCAGCAGACCTATAGAGACGGGAATTCTCTGGATACAGACGAAAATGAACACATCCTTTCCATGGTTTCCCATGAACCTCACCTGGAGTGGGAGGGTGTTGTGAAAAGGGAAAGAGGAGGAAGGAACACAAGGGGATTATAAACAAGAGTCATGAATCTCCATCAGGTCCTCACTGGGGCTGTCAACCCTGGAGACAATTGTTTCTCTGTTGGCAATGTCAACAATGTGCCATTCACGGTAAGATATTTCAAGTTCTGGAAATATTTCCCTTCCAGACATTTCGGAGCTCAAATGCTGAGCATGTGGCAGAACTATCACAGAGTTCTGTTCATTGAGTTGTTTTAAATATAAATGTAGTAGGCCGAACTAAGGGTAGTGTTGCCCTATTGACTAAGAATCAAACAAAAGTTGTGAACCGTTTTCCATGAATACATTTTTTTTTTAAAGTAAGCCTAAACCCTCAAGTAGATGACCGCCTAAAAACAATAACCAGACAATTGTATTTCTGTGTGTGTATTTGGATACTAGTGGATTTGCATGACTAAGCAACCAAGAAAATCCCAATATAATAATCATTAGCCATTCGGCAGGTGAACAAAAAAATGTCCACCCTTTATAAACCCATAATATATATATAAACACTTTAGACCAAGGCATTTGGCAAGATGTTTTGTGTTTGTTTGTTTGTTGACAGGCCCGTGTTAGCTTAAGCCTTGCTTTTTTTTACCAATATGTGTTTAAAATTGCAGGAAGTCTTTGTTTACTGAAGGTTTTAGGACTCTGTGTCTGGAATACAAAGGAAGGACATTACCTCCTTGCTCTCTAAACTCTATCAGATACTACTGCAATGCTATTCAGAGAGTGAATCAATAGGAGAACTATTTCTGTTCATCTGTCCTCTTGTGAAGGAGTCACCGTGAGTCACAGCTCATGTGAAAATCTCTCTCTGAGAGTCACAGAAGTAGGGCATTGCATTCTAATCTTATTCTTAGGGACACTGGCTCTAAAACAAGTGTAGTTGTAGTTGAAGTGACCTAACATCTCTTTCCCCTTCCTGCTGTCCTCTTGTCTCTTGATAGGCTTATGCGTCAGGTTGTGACGTGGTGATTTTGGGCAGTGACTTTGAGCGTCTGCAGATCATCCCGGGGGCCAAACATGGCAACATCCAGGTCGGCTGTGTGGATTGCTCACTGCAGGGTGGACAGGTAAGCAGAATGGAGAGGAGTTCTGTCATGGGGGGTTCTCAGGCTGCAGTGCAAACCAGGATGTTCCAAATACCAGATCATATTTGTTCAGCACAAACATTTCAGTTTTAAGTAATGTTTTTGGAGGTCAATATTGTGTTGTGGATTAATGGAATATAAAGCTCTATTAAGTTGGCAACCAAACAAACAGTGAAGAATGTGTGTGATATAATAATATACAATTATTTATACCTAACCCTTAAAGGTGTGGTAGGTAATTTTGGAGAAACCAGCTTGAGTGCACTAGAATTTGAAAATACACAGCCGGAAAAAATCTGCCACTTCCTTACAGAGCCCCTCCTCCAACACACACGAACGTGCACATGACCAATGAGGGCACGAGATAAGTTTGTGCACAGATGGAAGGCTGACAGGCAGGTAGGCCATCCAGTTATTTTAGCCGGGCTGGCTAAAATGATTGGTCGTGCTTTTTACAGTACTACGGCTTCCACAGGTGACATTTTTTTATGGATTTTTTTGTCAAAGCACTTAAGATATTCATTGCTATCGGGATGTTAAGAGCATTCCATGGAATATAACAAATTGTATCTCGAGCCGGTTTCTCAAACTTACTTACCCCACCTTTAATGGCATACCTGATTCAACAAAATTGTGAATCAGTCGGGATGAAATGTTTTTGTTCTTCCGGTTTGCTTTAATGACCACACAATAGGGGATTGTTTTAGGCAAGCACAGTTCACAGGGTCAGAGGAATAATATGTATCTGATTTGTCCATCCAAAAAATATCTCCTAGTAAGTCAAGTACATCTAACTGCAAAGCATTAAAAGCTCAGCTCTGAATCGTGAATGGGTGGGCTAAAACATCTAGCTTGTATTGTTTTGATATCAGTAGAAATTGTACCAAAGAGGAAATTATGTCCAAAAGCATAATAACTCATAAGCACCATACTTCTTAAACATGACAAAGCAACCCTTCCTGCTTTACAGGAAGGCTTGCTTACAGTCACATATTTTATGATTCCTTCTAGCTACTTTTTTTTATTTTTATTTTTTTATTTTTTATTATACCTTTATTTATCCAGATAAATCCCATTGAGATCATTGAACTCTTTTACAAGGGAGACCTGCTCTACTTAGTAACAATGCTGTGATGAATAACATTTGGAGCATTCCAGGATTACTATATCTGCATACATTTGACAAATTAGTCAATAAATATATTATAAGTAGTATTCATTATTCCCAGCCCATCAATTAAAATGGGTTTATTTTTAATTGGGGATAGTGGCAGCCTTATTTATAGCAGCAGACAGGCCTGGTTCTATTCTAACGAAATAGAAAATGTTCACCCAATTCTTCACTACTCTCCTCATGTGATGTTTAATCCAATTCAGTTGGGCCAGAAGTAACCTCACATGCCTCCAGCATGGTCCAGCATCTCTTTAAGCATGCTCAGTTGGTATGTTTACCAGTTCCACCTCACTGCCCCTCTCCACGCTGTGATATTTGCAATGCTATTAGTTTAACCAGCATTGTTGCGCCCCTACTATCACACTGTGTGATAGCACTTCAGATCCCTATTGTACGCATTAATGACCCCACTGCAATAAAACATGTATCATCATAATGAAGACGAATACATCTTCATTATGTGACATTGCTAAAGTAAGAGCAAACAAATATGGATGCCAGTTTAGGTTTAAGGTTTGGGTTAATAAAGCAACAAAAAAAAAGTGGGTTTAAAAAATGTAGATTTCAAAGGAAAAAAGTTATCTCCTCTCACACTATCACCTCTGCATTCATTTATGTAAAAAGAGTCTAAGCTTGGTCATACAAATCTTTCCCAATACAAACGTTCTGGGTAATCATACAAAAGTGTAGTTGTGACCAAATAAAGGTGACTTTATTTTTTATAATTTTTTTTCTTTTTGCTGCTCAATTGCAGAGCTCTGTTGACTTTTTTTCTCCACTGAAATTGGATTGTAACGTATCCTGAAGAAATGGATAGTTACCTTCTGTATCATTATGCCATGAGCCATTGTCTGTCTCTATGAGACTACTTTGTGCGTGTGATGGCTTGTTTGTGTGTGCCTGTGTCAATTAAGACATGCACATTTACCCGTGTGAGTGTCTCACTCCTTCACAGTCCTCATTCTGTGACATCCAGCACATTATTTACCTCAATAGAGACATGGCCCGACCTTATTATGCCCACTGCAACAGAAATGTCAGCCATTCAGTCGAACATTGTGACTTTTGCTTCCATGGAAAGACCTTGAGCAGTGCATGAATGTGAGGTGTGCTTTTGTTAAACAAGATGTTGACTTAACACTAGGTAGTTATGTCCTCGAGGCATTTTTGTTTTGTTTTCCAGGTACTATACACATTTACTATTGAGGCATGTCACTGTCTATACAAGCTAATGTTCTTTAGTTAGTCTTCCTAATTAGGATCTTGAATAAGAATGTGCACTCATTATTTACTGACCAAATCTTCATAGTATTTAAATTGTTTTACTTTTACGTAAACATGCAGTTAAAATCTTCCAATGAGATACATTTTTTAAATGTTTTAAGCTTTCCAGATTGTAATTTACAAGAATAATAGTATTGGTAATGTATAAAGTGTAGTATTATTTGATTTTGTAAAATGTGTATTCAGTGAAATCGTTCATTCTGTATCAGAAACGCATGTCTTAAAATATAACATGTTTCCTTTTTTTTATTCTTCTGATAGATTGCAGCTTCCTATGGAAGCATCGTGTGTGTCTTTGAGCCCGTTCAGCCCCCAGATCAGAAGGACACATCGCCGCCTGTGAGTAGCCTGCATTATCTTTCAGTCCCAATCAAGTCATGCATGCAATCACATTCTCCTGAAAAAGAGAACTTTTCTTTCAGACAACACTTTATTTCAAATAAAGCAGTATATTGTTCCTTCAAACCCAACGGAAATCACCAGGGAAAAACATATTCCAAAGAACCATCCTCACAGAAATATTTCAAGAAGTTCTGCAGCCCTTTTGTTCTTTGTTCATGTTCTACAGTTAGTGCAGGAGTCCTATGTTTGCTACATCATTGTTAAACTGCCTTCTGTTCTTAGAGAAGTCAAAATATAGTCATGAAGAATGGAAATCTTTTACATATCCTAAAGAAGCCAGTTCCTCTTTTATGGCAGAAGGTTTCCTGGTGGTACAGCTGCTGTCCATGTGGTCTGATCACATGTTGCTCACATGAGAGCAGCTTCACTGTTGGTGTATGCACTTTTGCTACTGATATAAGGGACAAAATAACATGTTTCATAATCTACCAAACGTTAAACAATCATAACATTTAACATTGTCTTATTCTTTGTGTACAGAAGTTGAACTGCCAGTGGCAGAAGACTGGTCAATTTGTGTTGAAGTCTATGGTACGGAACCTGGCCTGGCACCCCACAGGTACTTTAACAGGAACATACTGAATATTATACTCCCTCAAATAAGTGTTGGTATTGTTATCCCAGTATGTCAAACCTTCTTGCTATATATGCCTTTTTTATATTTTATTTTTGTATAAATGATATGATGGAGCATGTCAGTCCTCACAGTGAACGTGTTTTTGTGTTTCCAGGCAGCACCCTCCTAACAGGCTCTAGTAGCCTCCAGTTGTGGTCTCATATAGATGAAGTGAACGATGAAGCTGAAGAAGGAGGAAGGCAGAAAGAGATGACCATAGGAGACTTTCTTTCAGCCTGGAGGTGCATCTGGGAGAGCAAGTAAGAACAAACTCTGAACATGATGCCGCCTATCTCCTTAAAGAGGCTATGCTTCCCTTTTTCTAAGGAAATAAAAAAAGGTGTTTCCCCCTATGTATTTGCTTGGTACAAAAAAAATTGATTTGTTTTGTGGTATTATTTAATACATTAATACATCTAACCTTAGATGTACTTGTTTTGTAATTGAATGAATTTCAAATAGTTTTAGTGTGTATTCAACATGATTTAGATAATATTTAATATTGATAATACTGTGTTTTTGTTTTTTGTCTGTAGGACAGCCTCTCCAGTGAGTTTAATGAAGTTCTCTCCTGATGGGGAATTCTTTGCTACTGCTGGACAGGTAAGTCAAGCTTTCATGAGTTCTTTAATATTCTACACATACACATTACAGAAAAGCAGTATTATAGTGATATATAGATTAGGATGCTATTTTGTCCAAGTCATATTTGCACTGTCTTGTCATATTAATTCGTTAACTAACCAGTACTGCCTTTACAGGGGTTTTCTTTTTAAGTTTTCAACCTAATAGCTTTAACTTCTAATGGCACACTCAACAACATGGTATCAATAATTGCCCTGTTTCCCTCTCCTCTTCAGGATGACTGCCTGGTAAAGGTCTGGTACAGCACCGGTAAGTGGAAGTTGGGTGTTTCCAGACTCTTCACACCTCCAGAGCCCAGTGACAGTTTCCAGGCAGAGCTGGCCTTCTCCTTTGTCTACCTGGCCCATCCCCGCTCTGTAACTGGCTTCTCCTGGAGGAAGACCAGCAAGTACATGCCACGGTATGGACCCTCGATTATTCAAACTGGCCTTTGTCTCGCTTTGGATTGATAATTATGCATGTTTTTGCCTATATTTATTGTTTGTTTATTTGTTATATGGTGCTCTACTACATTTACTTTCCTACATACTTGCCATTTATCTCCACTAATTTATCTTTACCTAAGCTTTCACAACTGAACACTACTAAAAAAGCACAAGTTAGAAAATGTACAACAGATAACATGAGCCTCTATTACCGGTGGAACAGGAAATATCTATTTTTGTTTGTTTAACCCAACAGGATTAAGTATTTTGTGGGCTGAATGTGAATGAAGTAGCCGTTATAAGGAGCCGATTTAAAATAGGTCACCCACAGTGCTGTATTAAAGTCTCACATTACTCTTTGTTACAGCACTGCTAATCTTATGTGACCTGTAAATGTTCTCTAGTGAAATTATAATGCAACACAGTTCACAGCAGGTTTAGCATGCAGCACTATTACTTTGGAAATGACTATAAAGAGATTATTCTTACTCTACCATTTCTCAGAGAATGACCACAGACAGTAAGACTGTAATGACCATGCAGACTTTCCAGTAAGCTTGTTTGTGCTATTAGGCTTCAGGAAGTACAGAAGTGGTGATCCGGATTGTACCGCTGGGTTAAAGGCAATAATAAAACCGTTTCTATAATTCTATCTTGGGCAGCTTGTCCTTATTGTTTTAATTGACTTAACTTTTGCCTTTTCAAATAAACAAGTGTAACATGTCTGTTATCAGAAGGGATTAGATGTAATCACATTTTTGTCACCAGTGTCATTACTACTCCTTTCTACCACTCTTCACTTTTTGACCTTACTTATCGCTCTAATGGTGCTTCTTCTTTGACCTGCTGTCGAGTACAGCAATAAGCATTTGTTTATAAAAGTTATTTCTGACAGGTTCAATCCCCTCTTCTAAACCCTTTTCCATTATCCTTCCTTTACCCCTTCCCCTTCTCTCTCCTACCAGAGGTGCAGTGTGTACTGTTCTGCTCACGTGCTGTAAGGACAGCGTGTGTCGGCTCTGGGCAGAGACGCTGTTGCCGGGTGACAGCCTCCTCTCAGGTTACCACAGCAACCACACTTCTGGCCAACACAATGACACACCCAGATCTGCTGGCCCTTCTTGGAAAAACGCCTGCAATGGGAAGTCGCAAGGAAAAATGGCACAGGGAGTAAGTTAATACAAACAAAACTCTTACCATCATTGTTTGAACCAACTAGCTAAAACAAATGCAGTCTAATAGAGCAGTCAAGCAATTCTACTTTCAATTTTGACAGAAGTTTACATACATATGGTCTTTTTTGAGGCTGTAGTTTGCAGCATAATTGAATTGTTTTATACTGAATGTTGTTCATAATATTTTGTCCACCCTTATTGGCATAAATGCAGTGGACAAAGTATTAGACAAAAAGAATCGGAAGCAGTTTTATATTGAGAATATCAACGTCATTTTATTAAAAGTGGGGAAATAAAAGACAAACATGCTTTGCCCTATTTAGCTCTTACTAATAAGCCAGAATTAGTAAGAAAATAGAAAAAAATGATGAAGAGGCTCGTGGAGTTTGAAGGGAATTTGCTATCTGACATGAATATGCTTTTAATGCTTTGTGCGGCTTCAGACAAGCATCAGTGAAAGATATTGGCCGTTTCTGTAATCTAAGCACTTAAAAAACATTTTTGATCGTTGTTTTTTTTTTCATTCAGCTACTGCTAACTCACATCTGTTCTGGTGGTGTTTTCTGCTTTAAGTGACCTAGAATGTTGCTGTAAGCCTAGCTAGGACTCACACACACACACACACACAATACTGGCACCCATTTTGATATGGTGATTAAAAATCTATGGGTCTCACTTGAAAAAACAGAGTTCACGGCACATTAGATTAAAGTCAAATTGGTATGTAAATGTCTCCACTGTGCCTCGAGGAGAGTCTGTAAGGGTACATGTCTGGAATTATTCATTAAAGTCACAGACTGAGCCAGATAACAAGGCAGTAGAAGTAACGCTCTCCCAAAAACTGAATAGATGCACAGACAAGAGAACAATTTTAGTATTTTGCCTCAGTGGGGATTTCATGCAAAATCTATGAAGAGGAGCGAGCCGATTTCTTTGTTTGTTTGTGAGTCCCCACAGGACGCAGTGATGTGGGGATTTCACCACAATCTCATCTCCCAATAATCAAATTAAATGATTTTTTTTTTTTTTAAACGTTGTACTCATCAGTATGTACTTCATACAGAATTTAAGATTTCGGCACATATTTTACTTTTGACAAATAGGTCCTTTTCAAAATGGAGAATGCAATTTGGATTAATTGTTCGGCCCTTGTTGATACCCTATCTTAAGCATTCTCTATAGATACTTGTAATCAATATTCAGACAAAAGAAAATAAAACATTTAAAAGAATTGTTGCTTCCTTTTACCTGCTGCTCTCTCACTAAGATACTCTTTCATGCTGCCTCTGCACTCTGGCTCTGACTTGTTTATACAAATTGGGCACTTAACTTAAATGTCGTTCAAGGGTCTATATATAACATTAAATTACATTCCCATTCCAAAGCGCAAAGTATTGGAGCTCAACTCAGGCTGAGAGGAGAGCAGTGAAGCCCTTTTAGTTTACACACATTGATCATTCACAACAGGTTTAACCTACATCGCTACAGCCTGGAAGGGGAAAGGGGGAAGTGTTTCCCATCTTTGCCCGCCATATAAAACACTTGTTGCTTCTCAAGTTATTCAAGAAATTGAAGTCTCTGTGGAGATGCATGCAATATCTCATTGTCTTTGTGATTGTACATACCTTTTTATAAGATGGAAAAGCACACTGAAGGACGCAAGGCAGCATACATTCATAGGATAAAGATTTAATATCTGTCAACAAATCAGATTTTCAGCACATAACAGCTCTTAGAAGTCACAATACATTACACTTGTTTATTAATCCTCTAACTTGAATAACACATTTTCTCCACAGTCAAATTTTCAAGAATCATTGCACGCCTCCTTTCATCGGGATGTCCCCAAGCCCTCTTTGACTAGCTGCCTGCCTCACAACCAGAGCCGACACTACAACCACAAGAGGAGCAGCAGCAGCATGCCCCACGCCAACGCGCTCTGCCACTTCCACATCGCTGCCAGCATCAACCCTGCTACAGGTTAGACTCACACACACAGACATTAGTATCTTTAACTCGATTGTTTTCATTTTAATCATCCTTACAAGCATCTTGCACAACACCAACAATTCTCCAAATGTAGTGAAGAACTTCAAGCCACAAGATGGTAGAAAGTACTCCCTAAAGAAAAGGACACCACAGAAAGTATTGAACCATATTATTTATTCACAAACTCCTGAGACTGCATAGATGGTTAACTCTGCTTGAATAAAATCAGCTGGAGGTCAGAGGGCTTCAACTTTTTATTTCATATGGCAAGAAATGGTGTAAACTTGTTGCATTGCCTGAGGTTGTTTATTTAACATCGCAGTGAGTTTTTCTGTTCAGCTACAGCTGCTCAGACTTAATGTTAAGTGTTTCCCCCTCTCTGATTTTGCATGGCACTTTATTTAGACCTGAAGCCTTTGTGCCTTGAGGCTGAGAAGTGCTGTAGAATAGGATTTGAATGCTTGTATTATATATTACCAAACTTCAAATGATATACTCATCATTACATTTAATTTGTTACAACAGATACATTTGTGCCTGCATGCCTCTTATCTAATGTAATGTAAATGTATGTAATACTTAGCTTTTTTTTCTCCAAACGTTGTAACCTCTTTATCACAGACATTCCTCTGCTGCCCTCCATCTCCTCTCTGAGTGCCGCCGATGATGAAGAACCTGGAGGCCCTTTTACTGTCCACTGGCTCAACAACAAGGAGCTTCATTTCACTTTAGCTATGGAGGTCTTCCTACAGCAGCTCCAAGGCAGCCTGGAGCAACAGAACGAATGCTCCAACGAAGGTACAGAATATAAGGATCAAACATTTGTTTGAAGGGGTGTGAAAATGTAATAACACTACAGTTTTATGCTCGACATGAGATCGACAATATGATTTGTTTAAGCTGATGCCGATAACCAATCCATTACCTGCTCTGCTTCCCATGGCTAATGCAGTCAACCAATACATTTACATTTGATATGGCCTATAGTCTTCTCAACTGAATTTTCAGGATTTACATTATGATTTGTATCTCTTCCAGAGCCTGAGGATGAGGAGAACTGTGATGAAGATAATGGAAGCAGGCCAGGCGACTCCCAGGAACCTGAGGCTGTGGAGCTCCCCCTGGCAGCGGTGAAGCACCAGGTGAACGTGCTGCTGGAGGAGTGGAACAAAGGGGCGGACATGTTGTTCAGTATCCATCCCATGGACGGCTCTCTGTTGGTCTGGCATGTGGACTGGTTGGATGAATACCAGCCAGGCATGTTCAGACAAGCTCAGGTACGTTCACTGCTGATATGGTTTAACTTTATGTAAAAACGATGGTTTTAAGAACATAGTGCCTCACCTTTAACTGTTTTTATATCCAAATAAACACACTCTTTTTCCTACTTTGAATGGTCACACTTTAAAGATTTCAATTGGAAACTGTTATAAAGTCATTGAATAAACTCTGAGCAGACCTTCTCTTGGTCACTCGTGGTTGTATTCACAATTGAAGCGCTTCTGGGGGAAATAATGAATTTATCTTCTCAATAAGGCTGTGAATCATTTTGACATCTGTGATTTTTTCTTTTAATGGTTTCTCCTTCAACTGAGGAGACGTATTCTAATGATGTGCTACTTTATATCATATTCAAAAGTCCCAGGATGCATTTCTATTAGTGGTGAAATAATGAGTTCCTCGTGACAAGGCACCGAGGGAGTCAGGCGAGGCAGCTAAATGAATCCCTGGTTTCATTGACATTCCATTTGATTAGGCCTGGCTGCTTGAGTTAGATAAAAAGCTATTATTTATGTCACATCTGAAGAGAAAACGAAGAAGGCTGTTTCCCTCAAGTCTCCATCACTGTCTTAGTGACTGAATTCATTTTTGAAAGACAGTTGTCACTCAGCTTCTGTTCTGAATGTGTTAGTTAGTTAAATGAGTTCTGTAGCTTCAGTGCCATCTGGGTCATTATCACAGTCACACAGGACCTTAAAGAGCCTGTGACAGCATCCCAACAACTGTTGTGCAATGAAATATTGGGCTACTAGTCATCTCGAACCGTCAGCTTAAAAAAGAAGGTGCGATACCGTTCTGATAAATATCAATAATTTCGAACATCGAGGGGAAATTCCTTCGACTCATTTTGAAGTTTTGGGGGAAGCCGGAAGTGACGTCAATGCGGGAACGCTTCACTGTGCGGCGAGAGAGCCAAACACGGACAAAGTGTGTTGTCATGCGTAGAAATTGTGAATTACTGAGTTTAGGCACGTTAATAACGTTTTAATGAAGTTGACTACAGTATATTCATATTTGTCAGTGCTTTCATGTCAATTAGGCGAACATAAACATACATGATCGTGGTGAAGACGATGATTAAAATCGGAGCTGCTGAATTTCCTCCCGTAGGATGTGATATAAAAACAAATCGATTATTTTTGTAGTTGTAAACTCAAGTGGATGAAACTACATTTATTAGTGCTTTCATGTCAATTCGGCGAACATATGATACATTAAATGATCGTGAGGATGATGATTAAAAATCGTTTGTTTGAGCCGGTCTGCATTTCCTGATGAGAAAACAAACCGATGCTTTTTGTAGTTGTAGTATACCAACATGGATTAAACGTGTGTTTTTTTTTTTACCACAATGTTGGGGAAATTAATGGATAAAATGCACGGATTATGATTATTATTATTCCCACTCCGATCGGGACACTAGGTCCACCGTTTCCCCGCAGCGAGGCTCCCCCCATTGACAGTTTACGTGGGCTGGGCTGGGTGCAGTGGCGGACTGGCCATCGGGACGAATCCCGATGGGCCGGTACCGAAGTGGGACGGTCGGATAAGTCACTAGCACATCCCCCACTCCCCCCGTTGACAATTTACTAGCGGTACCGAAGTGGGCCGGTCGAGAGTCCCGGGATGATTTTTAGTCCCATTCCACCACTGGCTACATGACCGTATGATCGCCCATATTGACGCACCTAATTCCTAAACTTCTAATAGATACAACATAAAGCGATCCTTCAGCCTCATATGAGCTCTCAGACACGTTCAACATTAAACTGTCATCGCTGTCTGAGCTTGCTGCTGTGTGCACCATCGTGCGTTTACATGCAGATGCTGGGATCCTGAACGGTGCAGCTGGAGCGCTGTGCCCGCAATGACGTCACACGTAATTTGGCGGGACTTGAAGAATCCCCGAGCAGATCCAGGAAATGGTCAACATTGAAGGGCAGATTAATGGTTATCAAAGTACAAATATCCAAAATCAGTTCAGTAACGGTTTTCAAGGGGACAATATTTACTCAAATTGATGGGTTTGGATGATGGGGGAAACTCGTGTCACAGGCTCTTTAAGCTCATATTGAATGCTTCTTTAAGCTCTAATATAATAAGTTGATTGACTGAGCCATTCCTATCATTAACCCCGGAGCCTTATTTACTCTAAATTAGATGCTATCTTGTCTCCTTTCTCTCTCAGGTTTCCTTTGTGTCCCGTATCCCTGTGGCGTTCCCTACAGGTGATGCCATCTCCTTGAGCCACAGTGTGGTTATGTACGCCTGCAACAAAAACGTAGATCTGGCTATCCAACATGACAGACAGCGACCACCCGGGAGCACATTGCCTCAAACCAAATCGGCTCTAATAAGCTACAGAGGCCAAGGAAAAACTGCACCCAGCAGTAGTCTTCGACTGAGCATCTTCACCCCAAACGTCCTCATGATCTCCAAACACTCTGACGGCTCCCTGAACCAGTGGGCAGTCAGCTTTGCCGAGGACTCTGCTTTCTCCACTGTGCTCAGCGTCTCTCACAAGTCACGGTACTGTGGCCACCGCTTCCACCTCAACGACCTGGCCTGTCACTCTTTGCTCCCTCTCCTCCTCACCACCTCGCACCACAACGCCTTGAGGACGCCCGAGGCAGACAGCATCCTGGCTCCCCCCGACACCTACTCCTCTGGTTTCTCTCACCCTGCGTCTCTGCCCCGAGGGTCACGGCCCAGCAGGTCATCCCTGGGTGTAGTTTCCCAGGATCCAAATGCCATCTACAGCGAGCTTATATTATGGAGAGTAGACCCCGTTGGCCCGCTGTCTCTGTCAGGCGGGGTGTCTGAGCTTGCTCGGATCAATTCTCTCCACGCATCAGCGTTTGCTAATGTAGCCTGGCTGCCCACGTTCATCCCCAGCAGCTGTTTAGGTGAGAAAATATAATGTATTGTCTGGAGATTGTTAAAGCAACATATGATAAAGTACTTGGCAGTCAGCCTTTGAATAGACACAAGTATCTTTTTGAGATTTGTTCTTTTGTTTACCAAGTTGTTTTTGTTTCTTACTACAAAGGGAATTATCTTTTGCTGAAATATGCTTTGGGACATTAAATCCATATAGATATCATTTGTTCAGATCAGTTTTTGTACCCTCATTTGTGCATAAATAAAAGGCTCCTTTGAAAACAACTCAATGAAATCCATGAAGGCTTTTACATTTTAAATAATATCCCACTAAAAACATTGTTGCTGGATTGGATATAGTCTTTAAAACTTTAGAACAACAGTCTTTGATATATACAATATTTGCTTCTTTGTTAAATGAACTGTACCTAATTGTTCTATATTTTATTTGTTGAAAACACCGTCTTACTCTCTTTAGGTGTGTACTGTAACTCTCCCAGCGCCTGCTTCGTGGCGAGTGACGGCCACTCACTCCGGCTGTATCAGGCTGTTATCGAAGCTAAGAAACTCCTGAGTGAGCTCTCCAATCCTGAGATATCAGTAAGTCCTCAAACAAGTCTCTGCAGTGTATGTTCAGCAAATCAGTATTTCCCCTAGGACCTTTTTAAAGTGTTTCCCACAGATCTGAAATATACTTGGGGGGGGTGGTGGTAGCGGGGGGGGGGGGGGGGGTTGAGGTGACGTGCAACAACAACAACATTAACCTTTCTGTTGGTCGCTTGTTAGCAGACCCTTCACGCGATGGCAGAGCGAACAGGTACAGGCAGGGCCCATAATGATAGCCCTATAGTTTAAATCTACTACCCACACATGAACATATGGAAATGGGTTACTATTTAAAAAAATTAATTAATAAATATTATTATATTTAGGAACCTATCGATGTGATTTTTAGTGGGGGTCGACCTCAAATCCTCTAGGGGGGTCCAGGGGCGGTAAGATTTAATTTTTTATTTGAGTTAAATGCATCAATCTGGTGCATTTTGAGGGGAAAATAAAGAGACTAGATCTATGGAAACACCTATATGAAACAGAACTGTATACATTTCAATAATCATAAAATCATGGCCATAACCAATAACATACCATTTCCAATATGAAAAAAACACTGAAACTTGTTTATTCATTTATTTTTGGTTCATTTATAGTTTTGAGTGTGTCTGTGCTCCTGAACCAGCCTCTCCTGTCTCCCCTGTCTCCCTCCTCTCCCCCTGCTCCTCTTTGAGGCAGCAGCAAAGACTAGTTTTCTCTCAACAAGTTTTAAAAGTGTATCTTACCTTTTTTCACCTAGTTAACTTTTTATTTATTTATTCATGTATATTTTACTAATCACATTACATTTAATTTAGCTGACGCTTTTATCCAAAGCGACTTATAATGACCGATTACAGGGACATTCTCCCTGGAGTAACTAAGGGCTAAGTGCCTTACTCAAGGGCACACTGTTGGTGGTGTTCCAGGCGGGATTTGAACTCACAGCCTTCCGATCTTCAGCCCACCTCACTATCCATTAGACCAATCACTACCCTCTCAAATGGAAATATGTGTTTACATAAATGGTGACCACACCGTTTGAGACCCACTGAGAACTTAGACTAAGTTAACTATCTAAACACTCAGAGAGTCCTTTACCTCACCTGAGCTGAGGTTATCCCGAGCTTGAATGACACACAGAGACCAATCAAGGGCTTTGATTTATGATCTGTATGACAGTGGCCATGTCGGCAGGCCACATCATGTGGACAGCCAGTCACCCTGTGTGAGGCAGGCCACTTAACAGGCCAGAAGGAGGCGAGATCAGGGCAAGGGAGCGAGGGATCATTGTCCACAAGTTAATCGATCGCAGATGGCGTCGTGGTCACGGACGAATAAAAAAAAAATGTATATTAAAAAAAAATTATGAAAAAAAACCTAAATGGGTCGCGAAATATACTTGGGCGGCCGTTAATATACCTGGGCGGCCGTTAATATACCTGGGCGGCCCGCCCAAGTATAGTCTATGTGTGGGGAAACCCTGGAGGTAATAAAATAAAGCTAATTTGCAGTCTTGTCTAAGTCTAAGGAGTGTTAATGTTTGCCGACTTGAGTTAATCGTTACACAGGATCACATTTAATAATGTGAGAAATGAGATGAAAATACTTCTAACCCAATACAGCAGAGTTGAAGCCCTAAGAAATAATGGTTGATTATTTTATTTTTTTATGATGTATTTATTTAGTCGTTTTATATTTGTTTCTTTTTGCATAACATATAAACAGCTTGCTCTGGCTATTACCATTAACTTGTTATCAAGCACAGCAATGTTAATAGAAACCTTTCTTTTCATTATTCATTTGAATGGTTTTTCTCATTTGGCTCCCTATTTGAACATGCCCTAATGATGTGTCAATGTTAATATGTGTTTCTCTTTAGAAATATGTCGGGGAGGTATTCAACATCATCAGTCAGCAATCCACAGCAAAACCAGGGTGTATTATAGAGCTGGATGCCATTACGGACTTTGTGAGTATACATAAAGAAAAGTGGAGTGTAATTAAAGAACCTTCCCTTTCTCTCACTCTGATCTGTCTTACAGTAAAGAGACTGTAAACATCTTCATTAAAAGGATATTAATGGAAACTTCCCCTCTGACATACAGAACATATTAACTCTAATATATGTAAAAGCTATACTTTAATAAAGACCATTGGTAGGATAAAACAGTCTCCAGTAGACTTCTGAATCTCCGTGAAAGGTCAACCATGATGAAACTGGTTAGGAGGCAGTTTTCCTTCTGTACATGTTTGTCCGTGAATGTGTTTGTGTAACGCTAACACAGCTGAGTGTCAGTTTGCCTGTACATTGTAGCTTAATAATATCTACTGTTATTCTTTACAGCAGGGGAAGCAGACCCAGCTTCTTCATGTGTTTGAGGAGGATCTGATCCTCGGCAGTGAGAGAACGGAGGACACACAGGAAACTCCTGATTCCCCTCACACTGGTACAGACAGAATAGTGTTTTTCCACTTAAAAATGTCTATCATAAAGGTTTAGTATTTGCACCACCTTCAAACACATTCACAGTGGCACTGTTCATTCATATTCTCTGTGTTTCCCCTGCAGCCTCAAGCGATACAGCCTTCTCTGCACGTTTCTTCCTTGTTGTGGTCGAATTGACCCCGACAGGTCGCTCGCTCCTCCACATGTGGCATCTCCATCTCGCTGCCCGACCCATCACCACGGGTGGGTACTTTAAACAAAATACTCTACAGGGTATGGGAAAATGTTCTTATCACTGTGAAATAAGTAAGACAGGCTAAACAACCGTTTTTCTCAAAGAACGGGAAGCCTGACAAATTGATATTGTACATTATTAAGCAGTGTCCCACTAATGTGAAGTTGTAAAGTTTTGAATTGTGTTATTTTTGGACTGACCAGGCATCATTTGTAATAGTTTATGAACATCCTACAATATATATTTATATTCAAATGAAAATAATGACTCTAATGCAGCGTCTGTCAAAAAGTAAATTGAATCGATTAATTCCTTTTCCCCACAGAAGAGACCTTGACGAAGAACGATTCCAGCTCAGCTTCTGATATGAACAGCTCTACGTTTAGCTTTGACACGGTCGGTTCTCCAGTACCTCAGAAGAGTAAACCCTGCACTTCAAATCTGCAGAGTGCCTGTCGCCTCAGCCTCACAACACACAGGCTCTACAGCCAAGAGATGGCTCTGCCAGAAGGGGTGGAGGCCATCAGTGTGACACCTTCAGCAGGTGAGGGACAATGAGGACACTCACTCGTGCACGTAATACACAAGTCTGTGAACAGCACCTTGTAGTGACATGCAGTTTCGAGCACACAGACCCTGAGCACAACACAAGGCTTTTAAGTATGACAAAATGCAGGACCACAGTGATTATTAATTATAGTAGTTGCAGTATTGTGATCATTTGTAATAAATAAAACAAGATGCAGTTAAGCCAGTATAATAGCCGAGCACAGATGTGGACACTTAGCAGCTTTTTTAGGCATTTACAGACACCAGTATTGAGTAAGGTGCACATTTGTTGTTGCCAGGGGAACTTCATTTCTAAAGAAATTGTCCTTTAGTTAGAAAGTGATTGAAAACATTGACCTGAATAACCTTCTCGCAAACATATTGACATTCTGACTAAGAAAGAGCTATTGAGCCAGAAAGATGTTTTTTCTGTTTTGTAACTATTAAATATTTTTCATACTGACAAACATGGGGATATTTTTCCGCAATTTATACAGTGCTTGGATTTTTTTTTTTAAAGTTAACTTCACATGAATGATGATTTTCAACTCTGTCCAGAAAGCCCACAAAATATCCAATACACAGGCTTTTTCTAACCATGCAATCGCCTCAGTCCTATATACATTTAGACAGTTTATAAACTGTTTTAATGTTGCTATCTGCACAGCCTATAGCCTAACTAAACCTTTTTGAAACTGAAAAACTTCACAGAAGTTATAGTCTGAAAGCAAATTACATTTTGTAATTAAAACTTCATGCAGAATAACAATGTTCTTCTTTGCAGGTCACCTGAGCGCATCATGCTCTCTGCCAGCTGATCGTCTGCCTTACCTGCTCGCTACTTCCTGTTCAGATGGAAAGGTGCGTTTCTGGAGGTGTACAGTCATGGAGCCTTCAAGTATGAACAACCTGGTGTACCAGTGGGAAGAGTGGCCTCTGCTGGTGGAGGGAATGCTTCCTAACAGCAGCGCAGTGAGCGTGCAAGGTCATCCCATAGAGGTGAGCTGCTGCCACTCGGGACGGATCGCTGTCGCCTACAGGCAGACACCAAACTCCCCTCTCAACTCAACACCTTACCTGAACTCTCAGGGACTTTTGACTTGTCCTCCTACTCTGGCCTGCTCCCCTTTTATAAACAGTATCAACACCCACATGACCCCAACTGTGACTGTACAGCATAGCCCAAATCTCACCCCCAGCCCCAACCAAGCAAACACCAATGAGCCATTGGTCCACATCAGCATCTTTCAGTGCGAGTCCACTGGTGGCTCACAGTGGATTCTAGAGCAGACCATAGTCCTGGACAGCACAGAGAGTGCCAATATCCCAGGTGCCATGGACTGTCCTATACCTAACCAGTACTGTCCTGCCTCTAGTAGTGCGAGCCTGGTTCATTTGGACTGGGTCTCGCAAGAAGACGGGTCACATGTCCTCACTGTTGGTATCGGCACGAAGATTTATATGTACGGCCGTCTCTCTGGGAAACCTCCAGAACTGGGTTTGTCATCAGAGGCCGGTAGAGACCTGAGCTCGTCCCGTCTGGTTCTACTGCGCTCAGTCAATCTGGTCTCCTCTGTGGAAGGCTCCTTACCCATTCCTGTGTCCCTCTCCTGGGTGAGAGATGGCATTTTGGTAGTAGGCATGGACTGTGAGATGCACGTCTACTCCCAGTGGCAGCCCCCGGCCCCACTCAAAGCCAGCGTTGCCCAGGACACAGACATGAGCAGCAGCGTCTCCTCCATCATCTCTGCCGTCAGACAGAGCCAGGAGGAGGGGCTCAGCTCTGGGGCCCCCATGTCTACACTGCCCCTTCCAAAAAGGGCCCTGACGAGATCCATGATGAGTCTTGCTCAGAAACTCAGTGGGAAGAGAACAGCTTACGACCTGCCGCTGGAGAAGGAAGATTCTGGGCTTTTTGAAGCAGCTCACCAACTCTTTCCCACTCTGCCCCAGTACCACCCTGTACAGCTGCTGGAGCTCATGGATCTCGGGAGGGTACGTTAAAGAAATTACTTAACTAATGTCTTATCTTTTCTTCTGATGATTTCCTTCCATAAAATCACTCGGCTCAGTTTTATCAGTTTATTACATTTCATAAGGTGTGAAGCAGAAATAACGCAAACTTAAACATTTGACAAAATAATGAAAAATTCAGATTTTCACCCTTTGTTGTGACTTATAATTTTAAATATATATTGTCACATCATCTGTCTGTCTAAGGTTCACCGTGCCAAAGCCATCCTGTCCCATCTGGTGAAATGCATTGCTGGAGAAATTGTGGCTCTTAAAGACAGTACGACCAACCCTGAGAAACGCCTGCGCTCTCGAACCATCAGCGCCGGAGGCAGCACGGCCAGAGACTCCAAAATGTTCAGCAAAGCAGAGAACTCCCCCCCTGACTACACAGAGATAAGCTCCATCCCTCCGCTGCCTCTCTACGCCCTTCTGGCAGCCGATGATGAGGACACGTCACCAAAACCTGGTGAGGGTTCAACTTGTGGTTTAATAATAATAATAATAATAATAATAATTATCCTCAAAGTGTAAGAGACTGAGAATAATATCCCACTCTTTGGTGAGAGTCCTGCTCTTTGCTATTTTATGACAATCTACTCTTATGAAATGCATATCTTGTGTAATGTATCTCGGTCTTGTGTCCACCTACAGATAAAGTGGGCAGTGTGAGTGGAGACAGTGGGCACGGTTCTAGTCACCCTGATGTCTATGATGAGCTCTTTCAAGCGCCCAGCATCGTGGACCTGGACCCTCTGGAAGATGATCAAGAGGAAATGGGAAACAAGGTCCGTTTCTGTTGACTTATGCCTGGTTAAAGATATTTTTTTAAATGAGAGTGGACAGCAACATTTTTGGCTCTTTTGGTACTTGAGTTTAAAAGCATAGATATGCATAATTGCGCATGTCAAGTTTCATTTTATACATACTGCTGCCTTAAAAGCCCACGACAGCCCTAGCTAATGCATACAAAATCTATCCTTGTGATGGCTAGGTCTCTAGATATTGCCAAAAGATTTACACATTTAGAAAAGCTTGTATATTCAATACATTACATTTGTTTTGAGTTTCAGCCATGTTTTATCCTTATTTCCTGTCCCTCTCTATTTTATGAAACAAATAAAAAATGCAATTCCAATCATTTTACAGACTGTCCCGTCTTATTTCCTATCTGTAGGTTATTGACCTGTCGCAGTACAGTCCGACATTCTTCGGTCCAGAGCATGCTCAGGTTCTGTCCAGTCACCTCCTGCATTCCAGTTTGCCCGGACTGACCCGTATGGAGCAGATGTCTCTCATGGCGCTGGCCGACACCATCGCCACCACAAGCACAGACCTCAAGGACAGCCAAGGCAAGAGTAAAGGTACTTCAGGAAAATGACACAACAAATAAGGCCTCTTGAAATAGATAGACCCGCAGAAGATAAGTGCTTCACAACATCATGTTTAGAGGTTGTAATAAGAGCTGTCTGTCTGATTGACCAGGTGGTGAGACGCTGGATGAGTGCGGTCTGAAGTTCCTGCTGGCCGTCAGACTCCACACCTTCCTCTCTACCTCGCTGCCTCCAGCACACCGGGCACAGCTGCTACGGCAAGGTAACGTGGGAAGTGGGTTTCAAATAGCTTTCATTGGGGGCATTTCATAGCTGACACACACTACATTCAACTCATTGTACAGGGCAAAACTAATAGAAATATACATGTTCTAATCCAACAAGAACTATATTTATGTTCCTCAAAATTGGCAAATATTGTCTAAAATGTCTTTATCATATTTTCCCCTTGTACAATTTTGCAAGACTTAATTTTAGTTTCAAGGTAGCTGCCTGAAGATTTGTCTCCCTGCACACTACTTTTGGATATATATAATAATAATAATAATAATAATAGCTTCGATTTCTATAGCGCCTTTCAGGGGTCCACCTAGGTATCAGAGGTATTTCTATAAAGAACTCTAAAGCTAGGCATAGGAGGTTACTGATGTCTCCATTGTAGATCTTTGACAGTAAATGTCTAAGCAAAAAAGGTGAACAAGAGGCACTTCATCGCTGTACACTACGATGTCAATTCTCAATGGCCCCTTGCACAACATTGCAGCTGGATGATGCAACTCACTGCTTTTAGTATATACTGCACATCTGCTTTTACTCACTAAACAGTGTTGATGCTCTACCTATGAAATACAGAATCTTCTCCCTTTTCCATTCTTTAATTTTTTCCCTTCTCTCTTCAGGCCTGTCGACATGTCATTATGCCTGGGCCTTCCACTCCGAGGCTGAGGAGGAGCTGCTGAACATGCTGCCTGCTCTACAGAAGGGAGAGCTCACCTGGCCGGAGCTGCGCTCCATGGGCGTGGGCTGGTGGCTGCGCAGCACCAACAAGTTACGCAAGTGTATAGAGAAGGTGAGGCGTCCAGTGACAGTAGTTAACTAATGAATGTACTCAGTAGAGATCTCTCAGGTGTCTCTGCCGTTTGTCCCCTGTCTAGACGCAAGTGCATCAGATGCATTCTTCTCTCCTATGCAGCGTTTCCGCCAGGGGGGCGTCTTGCCGTCATTTGACGCCCTTATTCAGCTCGGGACGCCCTGAACTCGAGCCGAGGGCGTCCACAAATATTAATAATTCGAGAGAAGATCGAGAGTTTTTATCGCTTGAAATAACGAAAAGGACAAGGACATCCCTCTGTTGGAGGGGCAAAGGAGTCTGGTGGGATTCTTTTCGGAGTATTGAAGATCGTTTCCCCGACATCGAAGGTGCCGCAGGACAACACGGAACGTGCGCGATTTAGACACGATGAGCCGAAACAGCCGGCGCTTTAAGAGAGCCGAGCCAAATGATCCGGCTCACTAACGTAAAAAGACAGTATCTATAAGGGACGGCTCAAGTCAAAATTCAAAACACACATCCCCCCCTTCCGCTCTCGGGGTGGATGCCCTCTCAGCCCTGGTCTGGCGGAAACACTGCTCCTATGTAAAAAATCCTTTTTAAAGATGCTAAAATCCAATAAGTTGTCACATAAAGGCTTTGAAGGTTGGCCATTAGTGTTAGCTCTATCTACTGCATATTGATTGCTTCATTTATTAATAAAGTGTCATCAGGTAAGTGAAAATGACATTTAGCTAAGGTTTCTATAAAATAAAAAGGGTTGAGTTTAATGTGTTATTTCCTCTGTGTTGTCAGGTTGCCAAGACTTCTTTACAGAAAAACAATGATCCTCTGGATGCAGCTATATTTTACCTCGCAATGAAGAAGAAGGCAGTGGTCTGGGGATTGTACAGGTAGGAAAAACTGTTATTATTGCATATAAAATCAATCTTTTCCCCCTGCCTTTTGAAACAAGATTGTTTCTGTCGGATAACTAAAGATCTATGACACAAGTATTGTTGTTTTGAATTCACAATGTCTTTCTCTCCAGATCTCAGAGGAATGCCAAAATGACAGAGTTCTTCCGCAACAACTTCAGTGAGGACAGGTGGAGGAAGGCAGCTCTGAAGAATGCCTTTTCTCTGTTGGGGAAGCAGCGGTTCCAGCATTCTGCAGCCTTCTTCCTTCTAGCCGGCTCCCTAAAGGATGCTGTGGAGGCAAGTGGAAAATAGACACACTGTTTGCAAGAAGACTTCTTTCGTTCAACTGCGGGTTCCACTTGTCAGCCCTGCTTTCAGTCAAGTGCTCATTTTAAGTTAAAGGTCCCATGTCATGGCCATTTATAAAAACAATAAGTGTGGCTTGATATTGACTAAGAAAAAGGTTGATAAACGCTGTGAGAATGGGTCTGCAGAGAGAATTTCCCAACTGTCTGTTATCAGCCTGCAGCCAGGGAGGAGAAATCAGCAGAGCTGCCTGCACTGAGTGTGTGAGCAAGTCCGTGGATTGGTCAATTTGGACCAATCAGCGGGGGCTTAACGTAACGGCTCCGCGGGCGTAACGTAACGGCTCCACGAATTGGTCCATTTGGTTCCGGGTAACGGAATTCCTACGTCACAATACCCAGGAAGTAAACAATGGACAATGACGTATCTTCAACGAGGCGTTTTGGGGAGGTATTTTCTGTGTTAGAGTTTTATTCGCTACAGGGTGTACTTTGAGGGTTTTGACTCTGCACAAGGTTTACATGCATAAAAACCTTCATAACACACAAGGGGACGGGTAATAAGCATGACCTTTAAATCAATTCTGAAGCATTGTACGCACGTCTTTTTTTCCAATAATTCCTAGTCAAGGGTAGTGTTTGACTGCTTAATATTAAAAGCAGAGAAACCACATTCACATAAACGGATCTTGGCTGCAGTATTTCTGTAGCGTGTGGCATCCTTTTTTATGATTGAAACGGCAGATTCCCACAGGGGCTTCTTTGTCAAGAGCTTTTAGCACATTGCAGAATTATTGATGCTCTTGGGTGTTGCTGTCTATCTCGCTTTTGTGAGAAGCATGTTGATACATTTATAAACCAGCATCAACACATTCTTGTTAAAGCCTTGTGAATGGGGACACTACCTACTACCTTCATTTCTTGAAAATATACTTGCATCATTTTTGTTTGTTAATGTGTACAATTGCGTATCATTATGCATAGTTGTTAAAAGAAAAGCTGTAGTTTAAACGATTGACATAGCTGTACTAGGTTTACTGCTATTTATGCTGGTTAGGTTAAGCCACAAAAACACACACAAATCTCCATCTTTTTGCTCGCATATCAAGAGGGATGCTCCGGTCATCTTGTTTGCTTAGCCCTTAATTCATCAAGGACATTTCTGTTTTGAACATCCCTGAAGCAATGGGTCTCATTATTTAATCTGTGTGAGTAACTGGAGCTTCTCGGAGCATTTTATGTAAATGAGTGTCACCCAGGTAAAGGGCTATCATTGACTTTGACTCCGTGGATGGGATGTAGTCTCATTAAAATGCAGCTCACACCTCACCAGTTGGGAACAACAACCTCAGCTATTAACTCTTTGCATTGCGCTGAGACTTTATTTCTAGCATTATTGTTTGCTTATTTTCTTTCCTTTTCAACAGATAAACAAACCAGAAAGCTATACCTTCTTATATTAATTATTCCTTCTTTGTCCGGAATATACATTAATTGTCTGCTTATCTCACACAATTCAGGCCTGTGTGAAATGCTCGGAAAGCTTTTTTTAAATGAGAACAGTCGGTGAAGAAATGCTTTTTCTCCTCCTCTAGGTGTGTATAGAGAAAATGCAGGACCTACAGCTTGCACTGGTGATCTCCAGATTGTATGAGTCCGAGTTTGAAACGGCATCCACCTACAAAAAGATCCTCCGGAGAAATGTTCTGGGACAAGACAAGCAGGTTTGTGTACATCCTCCTGAAGCTTGTGTTTTTACTGTAGAAGATGCACATCTTCATTAAACTGTACAGTGTTATTTGACTCTCCAGCATTTTACTAATTAACGAACAGCAGAAACCATAATGAGCCATTGTAATTCTCCCCAAATGTCAGATTCCCGCCCAGAAGGATCCGTTCCTGCGTAGCATGGCTCACTGGGTCCTGGAGGACTACAGCAGAGCGTTGGACACTCTCCTCGAGCAGCCTGCTGACAGAACCAGCTCCCGGTCCACGGAAAGCAAATGTGACACCGGTAGGTCTGCAGTGCTCTGCTTTTATTATTCCTCCATTCAAATGTATAATTAGGTAGAATGGGGAACTTCAAAACAAATATAAACGTGTGTTTTGTTCTTATTATGCTAAAGTTTCACTCTTTAACTAATACTCAAAAAATGTTTTGAAATGCCTTATATGGAAAAAAAACGAATTTTGAGTAGAATCTGACAGTTTCAAATATCGAAATCTTAGAGTCGATGTAGTGTGTACTCCCTGAAGCCTTTAAGATATTTGAATGCTCAAATTTCCGGCCTTTCAACTGCAGCATTGCAGGTAAAACACAGGGGGTTCGACTATACTGCAGAATGTATTTTTACACTGAAAGGATGAATCTACTTTTCACAAAAAATTGCTCAGCTTTGCAGCTATTTTTGGCACTTTAGGTATATGTAATTGTGAAAGTAATTACAGCTTCTCGCCACAGGAGACGGTTTAAATTTAAAAAAATGTACACGACTTATGAATGGATGAATAACTGAACTGAATATGAACCTCACTTTAACTTAGGAGCCAAACCAGTCCCAGAGTCACATCTCTGTGGTACATGTGTTTCATTAATGATGTTCTCAAAGCCCTTTCCTATAAGCTTACAGAGCAGGAAACATTGGCTTGAATTGAAATGGCTCCTATACTTTAGGGATTAGGTGCGGTCCTTGCTGGTTTTCAGTATGAGTCATACAGACATGGTTTTTGTCAGTCAGCGGCTCTCAATAAGATGACCGTTTTTGAACTAGTATCTCCACTCTTTACCAGGCTTTAAGTAAACACAGAGGGCCGTTTTTCACTGTTTAAGTGGTTACATGATTGGATGCCTCAATTTGTTGAGAAGTTCAATGAAAATACAGCTCAATTTCTGTCTCGAACTAAAACACAGCTTGTTTTTGCAGGTACTTTTGTTAAAGCAGTAAACACAGATAACATGTTCTGCTCCTTTGACAGGCTCCTCTTCAGTATCTGCCTGTAACCCTGAGGTTTTCAACTTTTACACCTACCTTCGAACCCACCCACTCCTCCTTCGTCGCCACTTTGGCTCCTCGGAGAAGGCTAAAGTTGGACTGACCGCTGAGCGCCGCAGGGCAGACTCCATCAGCCTGGAGGAGAGGAGACTGTTTTTCACAGCTGCTTACGCACACCTTCAGGCTGGGTGCCCCATGCTGGCACTTGAAGTCCTCTCCAAGATGCCCAAAGTCCGCAAGCATTCCAAACTCCCACACCATGAGGGTGCAGGCATCGCGGCTGAACTCAGCGTCGGGAGCAAACATGGACAAGGTTCAGAGCAGGACTGGTCTCAGTCGGCTCTGAACGGCTACGAGTCAGACAAGAACAGCTTGTGCAACAGCCGCTCAGATTCAGTGTTGAGTTTTGACTGGAGCGGCCAGCCGTCGATGGCACATCCTGATGAGCCCCTGGAGCTGAAATGGGAGAGTGACAAAGATGATGATGAAGAAGATGAGGATGAAGAAGAAACAACAAATGGTAAGAGCGGCAGAACTGAAGACGGCAGCAGTTTGTTTCAGGATGCGCAGGATGCCATGTCGCCGCTCATGGAGACTGTGCCAGGAGAGGAGAGTGAGGATGACTTCCTCGCTCCTTCTAATGACATCTTGGCGGCCCAGCTGAAGTTCACCGCCTGCCTGAAGATCATGACCAATGAGCTGCGGACACTGTCCACGGGCTATGAACTGGATGGAGGGAAGCTACGTTACCAGCTCTACCAGTGGCTAGAGAGAGAGGTAATGGCACACACATGATTAAACACTTAAACATACTAAAAGGTCAACTCCATAATATTTGTTAAGTTAAAACCACATAACATATTTATTAATCCCCGAGCATCCGAGTGGCCCTTTCTCATTTCATCAAATCCCCCTCCTCGACTCCTCGGTCCTCCGGTAGTGACCCGGAAATGAATTTCAGCGCGCCATGTTGAAGGACATCTCATTTCTCTAAATGCACTTTGAGGATCGAGCGTCGAGGAGGCTCTCTATAGCTATAACCGAGGATACACTGATGGGTCCTCCAGGTCCTCCACGGCTCCTTCGTGGATGCATTTCCGGGAACAGAGATGTTTCAAAGAGTCGTGACGCGCGGCCGGACTTATCTCAGCCAATGACAGCTCTGCATGCATCCCCTGGATATTATTTATTAACTGCTCTCATCGAGACGTTTCCAGAGAGAACAGCTGTGAGGTCCGTGCAGAAAGCAGAGCAGTGTGTATAATATATATCACTCAGTATAACAGGCCTACTCTCTTTCTTTGCTTTAGTTTAGTAGATATCTACAAACAAAGAGTCGATATTTTTCCCAAGACCATTTAGTGCTTCACATAATAAAATACACAACGGCTGTAGCCTGATAATATGCTTTAGGTTAGGAGCTGTGTGTGTTGTGTAGGAGTGTGTGTTGTACAGTGCGTAGATACGGCGGACAGACAGGTCTCAGTTGGTTTGGTGTCCTCTGCTTACTTTTAATACTTGTAAATAAAACTTTTGGCCCGTAATTTATTTTCCTCATTGTAGCGAGGGGAGAGGGGGGAGGGGGGATATATCCAGTCTCTGATAGTGTTACGTTATTATGAGAGTGCTCTGTTTGATTCTGAAATTGTATATATTTATATAAATATATACGTGTGTGTGTGTGTAGCCTGTTATTGTCTCATTATACCGCACTGTGAATGAATCAAAGTAAATATATAAGTGGTCATGAACACATCTGTCCATCAGACAGAGGGCTGCTGTGCCTCCTGTCATCATTAATGGACGTCTCTTTAAAATGACCGCTCAGAGGAGAGGAGTTCTCATTTCTCTAACCGCCTGCTGCTTCCCCTCCTCTCTCCTCGGCTCCCCTCCTCGGCTCCTCCGTTCGCATCTCCTGTGGGCGAGACTAAGTATTGAGGATAGGAGTCGAGGAGGGGAGTTAGAGAAATGAGAAAGGGCCCATGTCTCTGTTGTTGACTGTTTGTTTGTTTTCTCAGTGGTTTGCAACAATTGGAGGAAATTCAGTTGGTCCAAAAAGTTATATTCACACCCAAGCAAAGAAAGCATAAATTCATTATTTATTTTGTTAACTGATTCGATGACCTTGTAGTTACAGATTTTACTTTTATCAACCCTGGTTTGGTAAAGCATTAGTCTGGCTGCACCCTTAAGTTCACTCAACTAAAGTGTTATGACTTCCATGACTCCCACAGATCTCTCTTATCTTTAAATTCACTGTTTTAAGATCTGATCTCTCTGTTAGTGCATATAAACATCATATTGATAATAATTCTAGTGAATTTCTCTTGTGAATTTCTTCTGTTTGCAATTTGGTAAAACATTTTGTCTTTCTCTCCCACGTATGCAGAACAAATTGACCCTAATATATATTTTGTATCTTTCTAACCCAGGTCGTGGCTCTCCAGCGCTGCTGCAGCTACAAGCCCTGCTTGCCAGAGCTGTCTGCCCCGGGGGGGGGCGTCTGTCTCCGGGTTGGGCGAGGAGGAACAGGTGGGTGTTGATAGTGGAGGCTTATAGATTTGTCCGATGTTCATGACAAAAATCAATGCAACACAGCGGAAAAGTTTGTCTTGACACAGTTTGAAAAATTGTAAATTGAAAAGATTGTTGCACTGTTGACCTTGGATATCTCAACTGCTGCAGAACATTGTGTTCTATTTCAGTTTGAAGAGCAAATCGAATTATAAATGGCTTAACATTCAATTCTAACTATGTATTTAAATACATGTCATAGACCTGCTACTTTATTCATTGTTGACAGAACACATTAATGTCTGTGTTGTCAGCTGGAAGACATTGGCTTATTTACGTTGGTGTTGATAAATCTGACTATGAAACTAATAAAGTAAACATTTCCCAGCCGGGGAGCCCTCGTGCTGACATCCAGAGGAGCAGGTGGCACTGGCTGCAGAGCAACCAGCCCCTACTGAGGATGTTTCTGAGCTACTGCAGCCTACATGGCTCCCACGGAGGAGGACTGGCCTCTGTGCGCATGGAGCTCATTCTGTTGCTTCAAGAGTCTCACCAGGTAATTACAAATACAAATGCAAACTAGCAGCCACTGACAGACGCTTTTCAGCGGTTAAAGTTAGTACGGCTCTGTCGTTGATGTCACTGTAATAAATTAAGTTGCTGATGAAATGGATAAAACAATTAGTCTCCATCGATAAGTCACTTAATATGGTATTCTTGACTTAACACTCAGAAATCATTTGCTGAGATAGGATGTTAAATGTATTCACTGTTCCTGGTCTGCTTTTGTTTTTGTATCTTTTAACATATCATAAAGAATGAAATATTTCTGAATAAAAGGGACAGACGGCTTATCACTAAGTACATTTAAGAGGCTGATCAGTTATACATTTACAGCGTGCCTGATTCTCCTTAATAAAGGTTGTGCAGCCTCACCAAATCTTATAAGTCAGTTGGTCTGAACATACCTAACTCGACAGATGTTAGAGCTGCAGTATTTTCGAACAGATCAGAGAAAGACGAACATCAAACCATCTGAAACGCACGCTCACTCACTCGGACCCACTCATCGTGCACTGCCCCCCCCCCTCTCGAGTACTGGGCTGGCAGGTTGTGCTGCTTCTCCGAGCTCCTGAGGGAGACCTTGCCTTAGGCTTACTTTTCGAAGAGTCAAATTTCAGGAGGTAAACAACTCTCTTGAATGAACAAACCGTCAACTAGCACTGGGAGTTCTGTCTACTCTTGCTTTGATTCTGAAATAAAAGCAGTTGTTGTCCCATCTCTGGTCCCATTGGTTGTCAAGTTTCTCTATTGTTGTCGAGGAAATGTCAGTGTTTTTCTTTTTGTTTAAACTTCACTCGGTCTGTAGAGCTTCTGTTTGGGAAGGTTAGTGACAACTGAATGTGATTCATCAAGCGTGACGAACATAAGCCTGTGGTATTCTTGCACACAGTCATGTTCAGGGATGGAGTAAACGCAGACAAAACCAGGCACCCCTTCGTTGCTATCTCTTCTTTTTAGGTCTTTAAATGTCATTCACACATGCACTGGAAAACACGTCATAGAACTCTCTCAGTATTAGATGGTCTATGACTTGTTCTGTCTCAGGAACAGGCTTTTGTTTCACAGATCAAAGCATCACCTCTTATATCCCCGGTCCCTTTGAGAGCTGTCTCTTTTACCCTGTAAAAAAAGGATTGATATTGAAATCTCTGCTCTTACTTTTAAGGCTAACTGTGGTGTGAGGGTGACTTGTGGTTATGCAGTTGTCCCTTTGCATAGGTGCTATGAGTCTTCATTGTGAACACTTACATATTTGTTGTTGTTACACATAATCTACATTGTCAAAACTAGCATTTGTATTGGTGTACCTGTAGACACCTTACTCTCTGATTCCCTCCCACAGGATGACTCCCTGCAGGCGGTGATGCCATGTTGCCAACCAACATCCATCCCCCTCCTGATGGCCTGCACGGCAAACGTAAAGACGGTGGTGGCCAATCCCATCGTCTACCTGACCAACCTGGCTCATGACATCTTACAGACCATCAATTCACTGGACTCTCCTCCACACCCTGATGTTGTCAACAATGAGGTAAGGGTGGATAATATAAGCGTATTGCAGATATATGGATGTCATCAAACAGTATATGTTGGCTACTAACTAATAATAATCTGCAGTACAGATATGAAACATATATGTTGGAGGTTTTGAGGAAACATGGCCACAATTGTGAAATTAAATTGTCAAATATAAAAGGTACATTTCAGGGTTCTTTTTAAATGTTGTGTTTAATTGACTTTTTGTGTACTTCAAACTTTATTTAATGCATTGGATTTCCCTTTGTTTCAGATCTACGTGATGCACACATTGGCTGCCTCCCTGTCCGCCTGTATCTATCAGTGTCTGTGTGATGGACACACCCACAGGTTAGTGTCCCAAGTAGTGTTAATTTCGTCAGCTATTTTTTTATTTAGTTTTAGTCTTAGTCCTGTGTTACATTTCCTTTTTAGTTTTAGTCATATTTAGTCACCTTCATCCTGTTTTTATTTAGTCAAGTTTTAGTCGACTAAAAGTCTGAGCATTTTAGTCTTATTTTAGTCAAAGAAAACTAATTATTTTAGTCTACCTTTTGTCAATGAAAACGGTTGAGTCTTTTTAGTCATCAGATTATATAGAACATTTCAGTCAAACTAGTCTAGCCAAAACCAATAATTTGTCATTTTAGTATATATAAATAAGATTATATCTTGTCCTTATTTGATGAAAAACACAGGTTGAATGATTAAGAAGCTTTGCAGAGAGTATCTGGTCAGGTTTGTGGTGTTTTTTTACCAGCTGTGTTATGGCCACATTGCTTACCTTCTGATGAAACAATGCATTCGCTTTTTTTTCTCCGCCTCATTGTAGCGAAAATGGGCCCAAATATCACATTGTTTCTTTCGCCCAAGCAGTCGTGGCTTTAAGACTTTTTCGTTGTCAGTCATTTTGACGGACAGAATCGTAACATTTCCGTCATAATCCATTATTATCCGTCGAGTGCACAATTTATCACTCACTCGCGCTGACGGGGGGGGTATTCGGTTAACGCGAGTGCGACCACTGCTCACAAGCCCTGTTGTTGCCATTTTATTTTCTGTTAAATAAGGTTAGTTAGACCATGAGTTAGACCCGAGTCTTCCTGACAGTTCACAGTGTGCCGCTGCCCGGTGTAATTCAAATCTACCGCCGCGCGCAGCACAGACACACACAGCTGCTGCCCTGCCGCAGCACCGGAAATGGAATTGCTGGGAGAAAAACTGACTATCAGACATGTAACGTTATCTTTGATAATATTTAGTCTCCTCATTTTTCGTCATCGAAAGTAAAGGGAGATTTTGGCATAGTTTTTATTTAGTAAACTACATTTTTGTCTCGTCACTTTTCGTCAACGATATTGCATGATGATTTCGTTGCAGTTATTGTTTACTGCCGTCTCGTCATCGTCTCGTTTTCGTCATGGAAAAAAAAGGTCGTTGACGAACATATTTCGTCATAGTTTTAGTCAACGAAATTAACACTAGTCCCAAGCTGGGATATTAAGATATTGAGCATCTGGGCTGTCATGTCACAGGGGGGGGGGGGGGTTACATCTGCAGCTTCATAGTGAACTTTATTGCATCATTAACCCTGAGCAATTGTTGAGCCATCTACTTATTTTGCACATTTAAGGGAACATATGTTTGCCTATCCCATGAACCCAGTGGTCTGAAACAATGCTCTCATTTAGCCTTACTCTTAAGGGTTTGAGTTCAACATGTGCATCTTCTTCATAGCTTCTCTCCAACCAAGCTTCTTGAATTCTTTATATGACCTAAGTGATGATTACTTTGATACATTCTTTTTAATTTCCTGCCACATTCACCTTGATGCAACCCCTTAACAGCTCTATAGACACTGGATTATTTATCAAGAGTGATCTGACTTAGCTTTCCTATTCTTCGCATTAGCATTTGAAAGACAAAATGATGTTGATTTGCACCCTCGTGTTGGTGTGGGTGTGTGTGCATCTGTGTGTGTTTAAACTTATTGGAGCAGAATAATAAGAGAAAAGTGGGAAGGGACATGTCTACTGGTAACCAAGCTAAAAGAAAATGCACACATCTTAAGTCAAACATTACAAATATAATAAAGTAGAAAAGGCTTTTCAAGAGGACTTTGTTTATGGGAAACGTCTCAGCGTCTCAGCACATGCCCTAGGCTGCTTTTACAAAGTGCTATGGTGGTGTGATTTAGAACATTGATAGAGAAGAACTTGTTGGTCACTTGTCTGATGTGATCGTGTTGAAAATGATTAATGATATTCCCAAGGGTGTTGTTTGTCACCCTTATTGTACATTTTAATTAGATGTTTTACCCATAGTGTTTGTTAAGACGTGTATGTACTATAAACTCCAATCACTTTGACAAAAACCCAGTGGGATCTTAATTTTGGATGGGTGGTTGCGTGTGTTTGTATTACTGCTGTGTGACTTCCTGTCATGCTTCTGCCAGACTGTTTGATGTTGTACCAATCATTTTTATTTATGCTTGACCAGACTGGGACCTTTAAAGCAACAGTGTTGTGACCCCAGAGATAGTTTTGCTTGTATGGATTAAAAAATGTGTCAAAAAGACAGTTTTTAGAGAAAACATTCATTATTCTTTCAGCGAAAAAAACGCAGTGGATTGCTGAACTTGTGCTTCTGTGTCTTTCTCTTGGGTGTGCAAGAGAGACGCAGGGATAAGAGTGTGTGATTTCAAAAAGTATTTCAGGATATAGGTTGCTATGGTTTAGAATAGAGTTTCCACCACGTTGGCAGTGTTTTGATACATGTCATGCTCTTTACTGTCGGTTTACATGTTAATTCAGTTTAATTGTGTTGGTACTTCCATATATGTCACAGTATATAGAGGATACTGTGACTGTACATTTGCAGTGCTTTCTGTTGCATCATACAATTATTTTTGATTCAAATTTGTTCTGAGAAATCCAGACACTTCTTCTGAATAAAGTTCCCTTGGTCTTTTAGATTATTTTTCGATGTGGAGTCAACGGTTTGATGTTTTTTAGCAGAGGCTTAAAGTGGATTTATTGGATGTTGAAAACTTAAAGGTGGGGTAGGTAATTTTGGAGAAACCAGCTCGAGTGCGCTAGAATTTGAAAATACACAACCGAAAAAAATCTGCCCCTTCCTTCAGACTTCCTTACAGAGCCCCTCCTCCAACACACACGAACGCGCACATGACCAATGAGGGCACGAGATAAGTTTGTGCACAGATGCAAGGCTGACAGGCAGGTAGGCCATCCAGTTATTTTAGCCTCAGATGATTGGTCGTGCTTTTTACTGCGCCACGGCTTCCACAGATGAAATTTTTTTTATGTATTTATTGTCAAAGCATTTAATTTATTCATTGCTATCGGGATGTGAAGAGCATTCCATGGAATATAACAAAAAGTGTTTCTGAAATAAATGACATACCCCACCTTTAATAGACTCTCTGCCGTGTTATACATCGCATATTCCCTGTTGTATTTCTTCTGCAAGAATCCAAGGTTTTTGTGTGTGCACTAGTTGAAAAGCAACTTGACGTGAGAAATTGAGTACTGAATCTTCCGTCATCAGAAAGCTTTTTCTTCTCTACCACCAAACAGCATAGATGGGTCGCTAGCCGGAGATAAAGCCATTAGTATTTCATATCTTGACAGAACAGAGCTTGTTGACTCTAAATTTGAAAACATCATCCCTGAATTCAGATCAAAGTTAAAACTTTTAGACATTTTATATATTTACACCACTAAAATGCATATTTGAAATTCCACTTTTCAGTCAAACATTGAATGTTTAATATGTGTCCTCATACTGTCTTGTGTGCTTGCTTTCTTTTGTCTCCCTCAGCCACGTGAACCACTTCACAGGAATCGTGTATCAGAGTGTTTTTGCTGTCTCAGAAGCAGCCTGCCCGAACCGTCAGCATGGACGAGTCCGTTCAGCCCAACACCCCCCCCGCTCAGTGGCCAGGTAATTCAGCCAACACTAACCTCAGCTTAACCAGCGTTAAAAGAGAAAAGCATATTTCTCTATTACATTACATTACATTACATTAGCTGACGCTTTTGTCCAAAGCGACTTACAATAAGTACATTCGACCAGGAAGACACAACCTTGAAGAAAACAGAATCATATAAGTATATCAGGTTTCATAGAGCCAAACATTTCAAGTGCTACTCAACTGGCTTTAGGTAATCCAGTCCTTTATTAGTATAAAAGTGCTTCGTTAATCGTTCTAACGCTCGAAGTGGAGTCGAAAGAGATGAGTTTTCAGTTTGCGCCGGAAGATGTGCAAGCTATCTGCCGTCCTGATGTCAATGGGGAGCTCATTCCACCATCTTGGAGCCAGGATAGCAAACCCACGTGTTTTCGCCGATGGGAACTTGGGTCCCCCTCGCAGCGAGGGCGCAACGAGTCGTTTGGCTGATGCAGAGCGTAGTGCACGCGCTGGGGTGTACGGTTTAACCATGTCCTGGATGTAGGAAGGGCCAGATCCATTCGCAGCACGGTAAGCAAGTACCAGTGTCCTTGAAGAGGATTCTAGCAGTTACCGGAAGCCAGTGAAGGGAGCGGAGGAGCGGAGTGGTGTGGGAGAATTTAGGAAGGTTGAAAACCAGACGAGCCGCTGCATTCTGGATGAGCTGCAGAGGTCGGATGGCACATGCAGGTAGACCAGCCAGGAGGGAGTTGCAGTAGTCTAGGCGTGAGATGACGAGAGCCTGGACCAGAACCTGAGTCGCTTTCTGAGTCAGCTGGGGACGTATCTTCCTGATGTTGTAAAGCGTGTATCTGCAGCAGCGGGTTTGTAGCAGCGATGTTTGCAGTGAAGGACAGGTTGTTATCTAGGGTCACACCCAGATTCCTTGCAGTCTGAGTCGGGGAAACAACTGAGGTGCCGATGTTGATTGTCAGGTCAAGAGTTGGACAATCTTTTCCCGGGAGGAAGAGCAGCTCAGTCTTGTCAAGGTTGAGCTTGAGGTGGTGAGCAGACATCCACTGAGAGATGTCAGCTAGACAGGCAGAGATGCGTGCGACGACCTGGGTCTCTGAGCGGGGAAAGGACAGAATTAATTGGGTGTCGTCAGCGTAGCAGTGGTAAGAAAAACCATGCGGGCTAATGACTGATCTGAGCGAGTTTGTGTACAAGGAGAAGAGGAGGGGACCAAGAACAGAGCCCTGAGGGACCCCCGTAGTTAATTGACAAGGGTCGGACTCAGACCCTCTCCCAAGTCACCCTGTAGGTACGGTCTTTCAGGTATGAGGTGAGGAGGGAAAGTGCAGAGCCTGAAACTCCAAGTTTTTGGAGAGTGCGAAGGAGGATCTGATGATTCACCGTGTCCGAATGCAGCAGACAGGTCCAACAGGATGATGACAGAGGAGAGGGATGCAGTTTTGGCAGTGTGCAGTTCCTCCGTGACAGCAATGAGAGCAGTTTCTGTGGAGTGACCTGCCTTGAAACCAGACTGGTGCGGATCCAGAAGGTTGTTCTGATTGAGATAACAGGAGAGTTGTTTAAAGACAGCGCGTTCAAGTGATTTAGACAGGAACGGGAGGAGAGAGACAGGCCTGTAGTTTATAACATCAGACGGGTTGAGAGTGGGTTTCTTTAGGAGAGGGTTTACTCTTGCCTCCTGAGACTGTTTGGAAAGTGACCAGAAGTTAGAGAAGTGTTGATGAAATGGGTGAGAAACGGTAGAATATCAGGAGCGATAGTCTGAAGGAGGTTTGAAGGGATAGGGTCCAGAGGACAGGTGGTAGGGCGGGCAGAGGTAATGAGGGTAAGCACCTCACTTGGAGAGAGAGGGGAAAAGGAGGTTAGTGTGTTGGTGGAAGGAAGGTCTGGTGACCCAGCGGTGAGTAAAGGTGAGTCAGAAAAAGAAGAGCGAATATCATTAACCTTTTTTTCAAAGTGGGTAACAAAGTCGCTTGACAGAAGTGAGGAGGGGGAGGAGCTTTTGGAGGGTCCAAGAGGGTGGAGAAGATGGAAAAATAGTTTTTTAGGATTGGAATAGGAAGATTGGATCTTATCTTGAAAGAAAGTGCTTTTGCCTGAGAGATCGAAGCAGAGAAAGAGGAGAGGAGAGCTTGATAGGTTAGGAGGTCGTCACGGGTGTTTGGATTTCCACCATTTCCGCTCTGCTGCCCTAAGGACGGTTTCTATTAGCACGCAATGCATCATTTAGCCAGGGAGCAGGAGGGGACTGACGAGCCTGCCGAGATGTCAGAGGACAGAGCGAGTCCAGAGTGGATGAGAGAGTAGAGAGGAGAGTTTCTGCAGCAGAGTTTGGAGGCAGTAGATGGAACGAATCAGAGGAAGGGAGGGCTGAGAGCACCGACGAGGCAAAGGTAGAGGGAGAGAGGGAGCGAAGGTTACGGCGGACAAGTGTAGGATGGGAAGAGATTAGTTTGTTATGTTTGGAAAGGGATAGAGAGAATGAAATGAAGAAGTGATCGGATGTGTGGAGCGGGTTTACAGAGAGGTTAGAAGTAGCGCAGTTCCTTGAGAATATGAGATCAAGGACATTGCCAGCTTTATGAGTCGGTGGGGACGGAGAGAGTGAGAAAGCAAAGGCGGTTAACAGAGATGTTAGTTCGTCTATCTTCCCCATCTGGAGGTTGAAGTCTCCGAGAAGTACAGCGGGAGGGCCAGTTTCAGGGATGTGTGAGAGGAGATGATCTAATTCCTCCAAGAAGTCCCCCAAGGCGCCTGGTGGACGGTAGAGAACAACAATGGTTAACTGTATAGGATGGGTTACTGTGACGGCATGGAACTCAAAGGTGGAAGGAGTAAAGTTAGGTAGCTTGAAGAGGGAAAAGCTCCATTTGGGAGAGAGCAGGAGACCAGTGCCACCTCCTCTGCCAGTGGGTCTGGGTGTATGGGAGAAGGAATATGCAGTGGAGAGAGCTGCTGGGGTGGATGTGTTGGATGGAGTAATCCAGGTCTCAGTGAGAGCAAGGAAATCCAGAGACTGCAGGGAGGTGTAGCCAGAGATGAAGTCAGCCTTAGGAACAGCTGACTGGCAGTTCCACAGGCCACCTGAAACTAGATGTTGGATCTCAGTGGAGCACGTGGGATAGACGAGAGCAGGCCGGTTATATCGATTACGAGATACACGGGGCCAGTGATAATTGCGAGAAGACACATGAACAGGAATGGAGAAAATACACATGATTATAGCATGAGGGGCTAAACAACAAAAGTAAAAATTAAAAACACCAATGATACTTAGCTCAATCAAAGTAGGATTTGCCTCCTCCTCTCTATCTTAAACAAGTAAAAGACCCAAACGAACAATGTATTCGTCCAACTGTCAGTAGTACTTATTAACTGCCTTATAACTGCCATTTATAGTGAATATGTAAAGTTTGATAATAAGAACATTTAAAAAAGAACATGAGCACACATTGCGTTTGCAGACGAGTAGTTTGAGTGTACAGCATCAAGATGGTTTATTTTAGATTGATCAAATAAACTACACTGCTTATGTTCATTCAAATAAATGAAGATGCCACCCAGTGCAGCGATGTGGCTCACGCCTGTTAGAAAGATCAATTCATTGTTGTCTTTTCCTTTTTATGTAGTGGCATTTGTTTGCAAAAGGAAATCATTAGTATTGCCTTTTTTTTTGCTAAAGTATTAATGAAAATGTTTGGTTTATTGCACATTTAACATATTTATATATATATATATATAATATATATATATATATTATATATATATATATATATTACATTGCATTTAGCTGATATATATATATATATATATATATAAAAAAAACACAACTGTGTCCCTTTGTTTGCTGGTTTTTGTCTGGCAACTGAAACTAAATCAACAGCCTTCTCTTTTGAATAATCCTTTTAATGAATTGATCAATAAGTGGACATACTGTACATTTGGCTTTACATTCTGCTTTCCCTCATTTTAAAGGCAAATTGGGTCTTGTTGACGTTTTTTGCATCTTTGTGCATTGGATATTTTATTCAGTTAGCTCAATATCTTTGGTCAGCTATTTTTAAATAATGTAGTATTTTTTGTTTACCCATTGAAAGTATTTATTAAAAGCTGTTCCTTCTCCTTCCCCACTGCTCCGCCTCCCTTGCTTCTCTCCAGGTATCGCCTCCCTGATTCGCCTGTTGAGCTCGGCAGGCGAGGAGAGCCAGCCAGGCTTAGCTGTGCTGCTCTGTGAGATCGTGACTGCTGTCTTCCTCAGTCTATTTGTTCACGGCATGGCCACTCACTCAAGCAACGAGCTGTTCCGCATCGTGGCCCACCCTCTCAACAGCCAGCTTTGGGTGTCGGTGTTCGGAGGAGGCGCTCGGACCCCTGTCATAGAGAAACCCACCAGCCTCACAAGAACACCGCCACCAGGTTGGAAAGGATCTGATCTAGTTTTCCTTCTCACAGTCTTCCTTAGTGACTGTCTCTCTGTGAGGGTTTTTCTGGAGGTGACCCAGCAGCTAAATCAAATCAGTCCTGCTAAATTAATCGGGTTCTTGTCTGTAGGTCAAAGTGAAATCCATGAACCTATTAGTGTGGGAGCTGTTTCCCTCACACTCTCATGGTTGGCAGGAAACCTAACCTACTATACCTTCTGCCTATTTGACCAAATGTCTACAACAAACTACTTTTCTTGTACATATTTACATTTCAACATCTAAAGCTAATGTCATTATCATAAGCCATGATAGAAAGTAGGCTTGTTATTTGTATTGTATATCATTTGTAAATGCACAAGTTGGTTGAGGTGGAATTGCAGCTGAAATCATAGATACAGCAAATTAACAAACATCCTGTCTCTCGACACCCCAGCCTCACCAAGCGGCTCAGACAGGAAGTCCAGGCGGTTCAGACTCCTGTCCTCACGCAGCGGATCCAAGGACGAGTCGGGGATAGAGCGTGAGGGCCCATCCAGTCCCAAGCACAGCCCTGTAGTGAAACAGGAAGCTACCTCCATCTTTAAAGAACGCTTTATCCCTCCAGAGCTCAGCATTTGGGATTACTTTATCACCAAGGTAATCAAGAAGATCGAGAACAAACCCCAAAGCTAGTAAAACGTGGCCTTGTCATAACCACGGAGTGTATTATATTTTATTACGAAATAAATCAAATACGTGGTTAATGTCTAACAACGTCATTATATTTTGACAGTATTTTGGTTATAATTAATATTTATATAGACTGGGCGTTTATAATTTGTATCTACCATATCGACCTTTAACATGTTGTACAACTGACCAGTAGTAAACCAGGTAAGCAACAGCAAGATAGGAAGCATATTTCTTCTTTTCTTTGGATCATTTAGTTTAGCCAAAACCATTTGCCTCTATCTTAATTTTAGTTTCACGTTCTTCTGTCTTTTAGCCTTCACTGCCACAATCAGAAAACCAAATTGAATACGACTCGGAGGAGAGCCAGGACAGTCAAGATGAAGAGGAAGATGATGATCAATATGAAGATGTGTTTGACCCCAGCTCTCCGCACAGAGAGCATTCAAACCACAACTCATACAGGTAACGACACGGCACTGAGCGCATATTACTGCAAAGAGTGACTCATCTTCACCTCAATTCAACCTGCCCTCTGTAATCCAGCAGCTGTTTTTGTGTTTGATTTTCCATTCAGTAGCACTGCCAGAACACACTCTTATGCCTCCAGTTTTCAAGGGGCTTTGAACCCTGTCAGAGTATTCATGTCCAAGATTGTAATCTTGTT